GGGGTGACGGTGCCACCGCCGAGACGCCGGTGGAAACATCATTGACCCCGGCAGCACGGAGCCGAGTCCCAACTGCTGCCTTTTCTACTACTGCTACTATTTCTGCCGGTAGTGGGAAATCCTATCCCATGTTTCTAACGGGGAATATGGCGCGTGCAGTCAATTCAATTGTTCTTCCCTATCGCTATCCTATGCACCGCCACCTACCCACCAATCGGTCTGCTGTTGCTGCGGCGATTCAGGAGAAACAGGTGCGCCGTCAAGCAGGCTGCTGGGCGACCGCCCACGCGTCACCCCTCTTCCCAGCACCGACAACCCACGCATCAGCGACACTTCGCTCTGTGCGCCTTGAGGCAGCCGATGTGATGCTGCAGCAAGAGTACTTTTTTGCGCGTCAAACGCCGACAGACACTCTAGCTGCCGGAACATTCTTTTCTGGGTATGATACTCCAGTCACTGCGGTCAACGAAACGACTACTCCTTGGTGGGTTTCTGAGAAGTTCAACCACTTGCCTTGTACTATGGAGGTGCAGAAACGTCTGCACGAGTACCAAAATGTGGCTTCTTGTGGTGATCGGAAATTCCTGCTCTCCGAACTTAAAGAAGGGGGTCATGGTCTTGGCTCTTCGCTTATTGTTATTGCTTTTGACTTTCTTAGTGCCATGAAACTTGGAAGGAGTTTGCTTATTGGAGGTCCAGGCTCGGAGAAAAAGTGGCAATTTAGTGCTCGGGGATGTTGGCAGTGGGGGCGACGGTCTTTGGACTGCTTCTTCCTTCCACCATCGCGATGCAAGTTGCCGGTTGGACCTGTATTGGTGGTGCGCAATTGGCGCGATGCTGCACGTAGCTCTGCTCGAGTGATACGCAAACACTCTGTGGATACCCCTGGATTGGACAGAAACACGCTCCTATCTAATGAAGTTTTCTTTGGTCCAGGTCACCAGGGGTGGGCTTGCTATGCAAAGTACCAAGAGTGGTTGCGGGACCCCGCAAATATAGCTGTGTTTGGCACATTTGAAAGGGCACTCGACACACGACTCTCTTTTATGCTGGCACAGGTGTTTACGTACCTGACACGTGCACCGCAACCGTGGTTTCAAGCAATGATACATTACCACCTCTCGCATCTAGGTCTAGTTGCAGTTGACGGAATTCGTGTGGCCACTCCTCCGAGTACGCAGTGCATGGTTTACGTTCAAGATCGCGGCGAGGCGGCCAAAATGAGAGAATATTATAACGTTTTTGGTTGCCACACGGTTGGGCTTTCGCTTTATAGAGACTATGTACTTGCTATAAGCAATTTTTCCGGCGCAACTTCCTCCCAACGTGTTTGCAGGGTTTTTGTTAGTGGTGGGACACCTTACCAGAGTTTTTTGTGGCTTAAGAAGGAGTTTGAAAATGAATCCTATGATGTTTTGAGCACCTGGAACATTTCCACGCTTAATGCTGGATTTGAGTCGAAGCGATGGGGCGCAAGTTCGCCTGCGGCATCGTGGGTGGATTTGTACGCCGGAGTTGCCAGCACCAATTGGGTGTGTGTGGTGCAATCAAATTGGTGTCGAATGATTTATTTTCTCCGCCTGACGCATGGACGAGCGGAATGTGGCTTTGTAGACATTGGTGCGTTGTTGTTGACATCCACTGAGGCCCGAGGGAAGTACTGTGTCGTGTCTAACTTTCCGACGAAGCCCTTTTCTAATGTTATAGGAGGTTGATTGTTTGCTTCTTCCTTTTTTTTGCGGTACACTGTGTTTGTTTGTTTTTTACCAACTGCTTGTGTCTGTAGAAAGAGTCTAAATTGTACAGTGCGGCTGTGATGCTTTTTTTTTCTCTTTAAATGCCGGTGTTTGTGGTAGTTGTTGTTGTTTTAGTTTATGTCTTCTCGCACGACCATTTTATCTGGCTGTTTGTTTTTCTTGTTTTTTTTCGTGGTTGCGCTTCAGCTTGTCTTTGAGCTAAGGGAAAGGTGCTACTGTTTCTGGGCGAGACAACCCGCCTTCTTCGCTTGCAACCGTGCCTGTCTGTGTGCGTGTGTGTGTGAGAGAGAGAGAGAGAGAGAGCGTGCCTTCATGGCCCAAGTTGACTTCGCGGGCGCCACCCAACGGTTGAAGTTCAAGAGAATTGTCATTATCCCTAGTGATGGTGCCTGTTGGATGGGCGCGGCGTCTGTCATCTCGCTGGCAGCATCGCCCGTCTTTGGCCCCGCTAACCCTGGTGGTGCCGCAAGTATCGTTGTCGTGAACCGTTTTGATGTTCCGTGTTGTGCTCTTCGTGCGGACAAATGCCGAGCCGGGGACGAATGCACGGGTCCCTCCTTTGCAGCGTTTGAATCTTTGTGTCGTGGCTTGGCAAATGGGGCGGAGCTTATGACGCGTGTGGCATTTGCTGTGGATGCAGCACGCGTAAATGAGGCACAGCGCTTTACACCAGATGTCAAAAACGATCTGTATGTTTATCTCTCCGCTTGGAGCGACGCAGACTGCTGTGGCCACACTCCGCTTGCTTCGCTTGCTTCAATTCGCAACAGCGGTGGATATCTTCTTATTCTCTCCGACGATGTCACGCGACGCTCTGCATGGGGAACTGCACTGATGCATCTGCCTGGGTGGAGAGTGCTTGGATGCTGTGTGTCGTCTTTTGCCCCACCTTCGCTAGATCTGCAGCTCACGCGGTCTTTTGTGCGTCAGTGCCCTACACTAAAAGGGCTACTTGAGTGTGTCGCCCTCGGCGTTGCCACGGGGAGCGTCAAGCAACTGCCTGTGAGTTTTCGTGATCCGTTGTATGTTGTTCCGCTGGATGTGGCGCTCCTCACTGCATTGACGGCTGTTTTGTTTCGCAATGATGGGGAGCTTGCGTTTTTGTCGGCGGATGCTGTCATGCTGAACGTGGGGGTTGCGGCTGATGGGGCGTTGGTGTGGGGAATGGCCGCTGAATACATGATGGACTACTATGGGCGACTTGGCCCGGCGGTAATGGGGGCATTCCCGTTTCCGCAGCTGCTTGACACGCAGCCAACGTTGCAGCTAGCCGCCAACGTCACAGACTGGGTGAACTACGGGGTCTCCTTGATGATGCCGTTCCGGTGCTATTACGCCTGCCAGGCGGACCAGCGTCGGAAACGACTTCTGAGCCAACTGCCCGACTCCAGGACCACCGAATACGTATGTGGGGCCCTTAACGACATTGACGCGGCGGTTCACCGCATTACTGCGATGGCTGCAGCCCATGTGACGGTTCCACCCTCCAAAGATCCTCCAGCTGCCGCCAAACCACCGTGGAAGGACGCGGCTCCCAACACAAACTATTATCAACTGTTGTTGCAACGAGTGGCGCAGGACACGTCCCTGCGACACCTCCTTCCCTTCATTTCCGTGAAGAATGTTCAGTGGGATTTGTACATAAAGGTCGTTGCTCAGGCAGTAGTGGAGCGCGTCGCGTGGCAACTTTTTGAATTTCCCTACACTTTACCCTCGCCTGTCCCTTTATACCATAATGACATCGTTTTCCACGGCGTACGCAGAGTACCGTCAACCTCGTTGTCTCCCCGCAAATGGTTTACCGATGTGCATTGGATGGCGCGATGTGGAATGAACGCCGATGGGGAGCGGTTTGCCGCTTCGCCCATGCTTACTAAGGAGTCAATGTCACAAATCTTGGCATGTCCGAGCGTGTTGCGCATCATTGAGGAGGTGGCGGCGAAGGAAAAGTCTTCAAATGCCGTCGTGCGCAGGCGTGCTGCGGCGATCCTCCGTACCGTTGGTGCCAACCTTAACCAATTGCAACTCCGTGTCTTTGGCCTCTTTGTGCGCCGGGTATTTTTTCGCCTGTATGACGAAGTGAGCCTTAACACGGGGGCCTTTGAACGTCTCTACAAGGTGTTGAACACACCCCGCGTGGGGGTTGTGCTGCTTCCCGCGCATCGCTCCTACGTGGATTTTCTTATAATGACGTATCTGCTCGTCGTGATGGGGTTCTCACCGCCGCATGTTTGTGCGGGCGATGACTTCCTAAGAATGGGGCCCATCGCAAAGCTCATGCGTGGCAGCGGCGCTTTTTTCATGCGTCGCTCGTTTCGTGACGACCGCCTCTACTACACGCTTTTCAGGGAGTACGTTAGACACCTTGTGCTTCAGCGTCAGGCTGTGGAATTCTTCATTGAGGGCACACGAAGCAGGACCGGCAAGACGCTTTCCCCAAAGCTGGGCATCCTCCGCTTCATCACCGACACCTTCTTTGAGGCGCAGTCGGAGCTGGACGATGTGTACTTTCTTCCCATCAGCCTCTCCTACGACGAGCTCTTGGAGGCCCGGCTGTACGCGGATGAACAGTTTGGCGTGTCAAAGCCGCGCGAGAACATCAGCAATTTGCTTAGGGCGCGTTCGCTATTGAACACGCGGCATGGTAAAATTCACGTGTACGTTGGCGAAGCGTTTTCGTTGCGTCATTTCCGTGACCAGCCGTATCAGTGTCCTGCGCCGTTTACGCCGCGCGAGGAAAATGTTGGTCTGTCTCAGCGTCGCGCGAGGCACCCAACCCCACCGCAGGTACTGTTGAACTTGGCGTGGCACGTCACGCACAGCATTGAGGAAAATACGGTCATCACCCCCACAGCTCTCGTTGCTACGGTGCTAAATGTATTTGGACCAACAGCAGAAGGTATGCCACTGGCGGAGGTTCATGCGCGGATGTCATGGCTGCGCACAAATATTGTGAAGCGGAAAGGCGCCCTTAGCGGCGATTGCAAAAAGGACGACGTGGAAGAAATCACACGTAAGGGAAGCACGCACCTGCGAGACTTTGTTGAGGTTTCAGACAATGGTGCAGGGCGAATTGTGGTTCGCCAGGAGGTTGGAGCTTTCATGGCTCTCACCATCTGCAGCAACCAACTGCTTCATGTCTTTTTGGACGAGGCCGTGGTTGCGGTGGCCGCTCGGATGTACGGTACGCTTAATGACAAGGGAAACACAGTAAGCGTGGAACGCCAACAGTTGCAGGGTGGCTGTCGCCAACTGCGTCAATTGCTCTCCTCGGAGTTTCAGGACTACCTCCCTTTTTGTCCCTACACGTTTGCTTCGTGGTTTGAACACGTCCTCTCGCGATTTTTATCGTGTGGTGAGACCAACTCTGAAAGCGACGCCTCCTTGAGCCTCCGCGGCACGACCGCCGACGGCCAGAGGAATAACAATAATGAGTTATCCAGGAGAACAACAAATGTCATTGTCATGCCAGTGACGAGGCTTTTCCGATTTTTGATAGCCACCCTCTCTCCCTTCCTAGAAGCGCTATTTTTTCTCTCTCTAGCGGTCTGTGCAGTTGTTGAGTCAGGGTCTGAGACGGTGTTGCACAAATCGCCGCTGCTGAAGGCCTGTCAAACGTGCATTCTGAAACTACACGACACCCAACGCGCTGTGCGCCCTCAGTCGGGCGGCAGCGATACGTTAAAAAACTCTCTCGAGGGCATTGCCTTGCTGCACAACCTCCAACTCGATGCCGCCGCGAAGGAAGCTGCTTATGTGATACCCGCGACGACCGACCGCAGCGTGCTGCTGACGCAACTGCGGCATCTCATGAGTCACGTCTGCGGCATGTGCCTCTCCTTCCCTGAATTGTCTCAGGAGGAGACACAGAGAACGGTGCAGCGTGACCTCCTTAAGGAGTATTTGCAGCAACTGGCAGCAATGACTCGGCCGTCTAAGATGTGAGGAACGCAAGAGGAACAGGAAAAGGTAAAAAAGGGGGGTATTTTTCTGTGACCCCCCACAGAGAGATAAGTTTCTGCAATGCAGGATCTCCCCTCACGTGTTGCCAAAGCAATCTTACCAAGGAAGTGGAGATCCCAACCTCTGCTCTGCCACCCTGCTCTCGTCCCTTGCTTCCTCAGCTCCTAGCGCTGTGATTTCGCTCTGAAGAATAGGTGCTTATGTGTGTGTGTGTATGTGCGCGTCTGCGCAGCAATGGTTTAAGTGGTCGTGGGCGTCGTTGTTTCAGCTACTCCTGTTTTTACTATTTATTCCATCGCCAGCGTTTCCGCCTTCCCTTTTTTCTTTTGTTATTCTTTTTTTCTACTTGTTTATTTGCTTCGCCTTTGCCGCCGCGCACAGGCAGTTTACGTGACGCTTGAACGCGGAACCCGAAGGGGAGGGGGCAAATCAATGGGCGTGGGCGCGTTTCTGAGGAACACAGACGTTGATGGTGCTTCTCGCCCCGCCACCCACGCACACGGTCGGTGGGAAGAGACCAGAGCAACAGGAACAGAAACAAAAAGGATTGATAAATTTAACGATAAATCATGCTTCTGAAAAAAAGATTGTAAAAAAAAATCTGGGGACGAAGCTGTGTATTGCATGCCGGTGCTCTCTCTCTTTTTCTACCTATCTATATGTGTGGTCATCGCCGATATGCGTAACTCTCGCACCCTAATGGAGTGAATATCGTCTTAACTTAGTTTCTTTGAAACTGCCAGCTACTCATCTCGGTTTGCCGCGCCCTCTGTCTCTATTTATGACCTCCCGTTGTTCGGCCTTTCTTCTTCTTCTTCTTCTTCTGCATCCCTCTGTTTGCCTGCGGCTGGCTGCTTGGGTGGCGCGGCAGAGCAACTAGCACTGTGTGGCCACTCGGGCGCGGGTGGGTGTGACGAAAAGGATAAGGGTGCTAGTTTGTTTCCGCATATGTCAACACTGCGTCATTTGTTGAGGCCGTTGCGCACGGCTTTGTGGGACCTCTGCTTCCCTGACGAAGTCACGGTGTACATTGATCCCATTATTCGTTTTATCTTTACGGTTTACCACCTTCCCCCAATCGCACTTGCCTTGGCGATCACGCACAGCGAGCTTGAGCGTATCGTCTGGGTGCTTATTGTACCTGTTGCACAGGAGATGGAAAAACAGCCTTATGATCCTTCACGTATGACAACATTTATGCTTGGAATTTATAATATTTTTCTTCGAATTTGGCCCTACGCGACGCTTGGAGTGGCTGTTGCTACATTTGGTCACAAGGTTCTTCACTGTTTTGTGGAGACGATGGTGGATGCCCACTCTACACACCAGGGCAAGGATTATCCGCTGCTTGCGACCCGACTACAATTTATCTTGGAAAGCAGGCAAAGGTGTTATGTCTTTCTTGTTATTTTATTTCTCCTTGTCACTGTGGTGCTTTCAGGATTGCATACCAGCCTTCTTGTGGCATGGCCGGCACGTGAGCCTTGGGTAGTTACTAGTGCATGGTGCATCATTGCTTTGCAAACCACCTTTGTAGTAGGCTCTGGACTCAGCCACCAGGAGTTGCCCCCCCATCTGTTTAGCTGGCGACGCATTGTGGGAAGCGGAGAAGGCAAACTTGCCACGTTTTTCTGCGATACTTGGTGGAAATCATACGTGCATTACATGCGTTACATTGCTATTGAGATGGTTGTCGTAATTGCCTCCGTAGCCCTCTTCTTTCGTGGTCCTCTGTACGTTCTGTCGTCCTCGGTGGAGCTTGTTATGTATCTTAATATGCCCCACCTTGTGGGACATACAGTCTTGTCCACTTCAACTGCCGTCATTAATATGCACCGTTCCTTGCGTTGGTTAAAAAGACATTCTGACGCCACTCTTCCTGTCATCTTCCTCATCCTTCCCTTTCAATTGTCATTGCTTCAGGCCATTTATTACTTTCGACATCATCCGTGGACCGTTGCATTACTTATTGGGGTGAATGTTCTTCTTGTTGCACACATTATTGATCTGGTACGGGAGTTTGATGTGACAGAGGCGGGATCTGTGCATTGGAGGTACGTGGGTAAGGATGGGCTCATTTCCCCACGGCTTTCTATCCTTTTGGAAGATGCATATGAAACCCAAGTGCCCCGGTGGGAAGTGGCAAGCATTGACCTATTGATAGACATTAAAGCCATGCAACTCCATCGTCGTGGGGAGTTGGTGGACATTGAGCGGCAGCAGATTGTTGAATATGGAAATGCCCAAAGTTTTATTTACAATGGCCTTTTCTATGCCTATACCATTCCGCGATTCATTTCTGTACGAAGTTCAAGACTCTTTGGCGGCATCCAGTTTCGCAGAGTCTACATGTTGCTTCGCATGATAACAACTTGTGGCTTGCTGGCGTTTACAGCCCTTGTGTGTGGTCTGCTTTTTCAGGCGGCCTTTCCTCAGCTGCGCCCGTGGCCGGTTCGGGTCCACGCCGCAGAGGACGGCAATGCGTTGTCTGTGGACCACATTGTGGTGCGCATGCACTTCCTTTCTAGTCAAGCCAATGTGACACCAAATTTGCCTCCCACGTCGCCTGTTACAGCGTCTGCCTCTGCCGCATTTAAGTGGCAGAACACCACCTCCGTGGGTGAGGACTGGTATCCATCTTTGTGTGCAAGGACGTTCTACAATGTTTCTATCTGGGAAATCTCACTGCTGGCATTGACCTCATATCTCTTTAACGATGATGAGGTGCATGAGATGCTAAATTTTATGTCGATGCACATGGGTAGCGACTGGGTCATTCGCGAGCGTCACGGTACAGACTGCATCGCTCTTGATTCATCGACGGAGCCAACAGGATGGGATGGGTATTACGATTTTTATAGTGCAAAACATGAGCTCTCTGTCATTGCAGTTCGTGGAACAGACATGACGTCATTCCGGGACTTTCTTATTGACGTGAATGTCTTTTTCGATGTTGTTCTCTATCATTTACTGTCAAATATTGTTCCAGGAGCCGTCATTCTGCCTTCAGAGCTCATTGCCGACCTCATTCGTCTGGCATCCCTTCCCGCCACAACAAAGCGAGAGCACGAGACGTGGGAAACGTTGACTGCTAGCCAAAACGCAGGTCCCCGCCTCTGTGAGAATAATAACTACCGACGAGATTTTTTCGTTGACGTTTACAACCATCTCGCATTCGTGGGAAGCCAACCAAATCCGCCGAAGCACGTCCTTCTCACAGGTCACTCCTTGGGCGGTGCGGTTGCCGCTGTCATTGGGTCGCGGATGGGCATTCACACTGTCGGCTTCAGTGCTCCTGGTATCTCCCTCTCGCGCAAAAAGTTTGACATTGAGCTCCAGAGCATTCATCACTTTGTGACAAGGGTCACCTCCTCACATGACATCTTCTCCATGATTGGGGGCACGGGAGGGGAGGAGCATTATGTCGAGTGCCTGGCAAAGACGCGGGAGCTTTGCCACGCCATGGAATTTCTAGTGGGTACGTTGTGGCGATCATGTGGCTCCATTAGGGCTCGTTACCCTTTGATTCAGTCGGTTATGTAGGCGAGAATACATCGTCGTCGTCGCCACGAGGAAAAGGTGGAAGGCAGGGAGAGCGGCTGGGTGAGACCAAAAATTAAAAGTGAAGTCAGCACCGCTTTGCGCGGGCGCGGCCTTCGGGTTTTGAGTTCATCAAGCGGTGGGGCACCACCGCGTTTTTCGCGGTGATGGCTACGTTGAACCCCAACCACCAGGAATGTCATGGCTGCTGTCAAGCAACACGTGGAATGGGAGTGCAACGCCGTCTATTCTTATGGATTACACGGACGCTGGCCACCTTAATCAGCAGCTCCTCCTGCGAAAGGGATGGTGTACGAATGAGACGCATGCGTACAGAAAACAAAATAAAATAAACTAATGCGCGTCATTCTTCAAAACCGCCACACTGGACATGATCGCCTGCGTCGCTCTCATCTGTTGCATAGGGATCTTACTTCACTTGGGCCTCTCCTGCCATCCAGTGACTGTATGGAGTTGTGTGACTGTGGGTTTGCCAAGCAGTTGGGGCGGGGCAGCGTGGAGCTTGGCCTTGCCGCATACGGGACAACCTGTTTTTGCTATTACTTACCAGAGGCATTTAAAAGGGGTCTTCTAAAAATAACCAATGCAAAGTCCGGGGTTCGGGCGTCATTCGCTATGCGCTCATTACATTGCGTAGACCCTTTTATGCGATCTCGTTACTGCGGTAGTTCAAAAACAAAAAACTATCATGTAACCCCCATGGCTCATGGTTGGCCAACTTCAATCTGGGGAATTGGTCTCGCCGTGCTTGTGGGTACTTCCGGACAACACTACAAACGGCCCAATGGTATCCGCTCTGTTTCGTGGTCCATACGCCACACAGCGTCTCCTTCAGCTCATGGCGGCCGTGACGCAGCGCGTGGTTGCGAGTGTCGCCACTAAACGCCGCATCACTCAACTCGATCCATCTCTCAAAGAAGTGACGGTAAGTTCACCCGGGCCACGTTGTCCTGTATGACCAAAAACCACGGCGAATTTGTTCTTTATCTTTTTTTATTTCGTCGTTGAAAAGAAGATCGGTCCGTAAACGATGGAGTGCACGTGGCACACATACAATAAACACACACTCCCCCGCCTCAAGACCCTGTCTTTGTACGTGAAGCACCAATTTCACGCCTCTGCACTAATGAGGGACATTTGGACTTCACAGCTTCTATGAGAATTGTCTGCCGCACACGACAGATTCTGTGCCTTTACGACAATCGCGACCGTTCTTTACATAAATCCTAAAACGAAAAACACAGTAGAGAAGGACCACCCACGCCAGATGTTAGTTTAGATGAGTTTCTTCAAAACATCTCAAGAACAACTTCCACCCAACCACTATACTGTGCACCCCAATACTATTTATTTGCGTTCAAAACAATATACCCAAACGCGGAACCTCAACCAAACAATTGCCCCGCTTTAAGTGACAAACCTGAAAGCACAGCATACAGTGGGCTGAAAAGAAACAGACTCCTCCGTTCGCTGCCCAACCCATAACAAAAACAGAGGAATAGGCGCTACTCCTCACCTCACCTCAGTACTAACCACTTTGGAGGAGCGT